TCATAAAGTTTAGAAAATCATATAAGACTGTGTGAGAGTCAGTTATTGAAATTAGAACTTCTTCACAGAGCCTTAACCAGGTTTAGAAAATAGATTAGAAACCCAAGTAGTGAAATATACTTGAAATAGAAGAACTGTTTAGAACTTGGTATATTCACTTATCAGAATTCCAGAGTTCTAATGTTCAGAAAAGATAAGACTTATTCCAGTTTTAGAACATCAACATCAACGCATTAACCAATTTAGCATTTCTAAAATATAAAAACAAGAAGTGTAAAGTAAGCTAGTATCAAACGGAAACTTTCAGAAATCAAAGAATAACAAGTGATTTATAGTGGTTCGGCACTAATCGCCTACATCATTCCCCAAGACTCATCTTGAGATTCTCAACTATGTAATTTTCTTTTCAAGGGTAAGAGACAAACCATACAGTACAAGGCAATAGATCACCTAAGAATCTACCCTTTAATCCCACTAGATTCTTTCCAAGGTTTCTAGGTTAACCTCACCGCTTCTGTTTTGACAGAGTACAGAAACTCCAATTCAAGACATTGAAATCTCACACAAGAAAAAGGGTCGCTTGATAACCTCTTTCACAATAGCTTTCTAACTCTAAGTTATTAAACACATAAGTTTTATGAAATAAACGCCTGTCTATATAGATTTATAAATCTAAATTAGACAGAAAGAAATCACATATAAGCACAGGAAAAAACAATTTATAGATTAAAAATTCGTTTAGAACACGAACCGTTTTTCAAAAGTAGTGAATCAAATTCTTCTCTTTAAAAGATGAAAAACGTAGTAAAAGACTGAAAAAGAAAATGGGGGTAGAGAGTAAGTTTTGCCGAGATAAAGATGTGATCATAGCGCGAAAACTCTTAAAACAAAAACTCTTTCTCCTCACCTATTTCAAAAACGTGGAAAGCTCCTATTATATAGAGAAATATGTAGCTCTCGCTTTTTGGAAAGAGAATATTTCATTTTGCAACAGCCATAATCTTTCTTTCCTTATATTTAGAAGATACGAAATCTTAGTTACTAAAAGTTTATTTTATCATTTTTGGTAAAGTAAATAGAAAACGATCTTTTTCTTCCTTAAACAAAAAGATTTTGCGAAGCAAGTTATTTGGAATATATTTTTCGGAAGAGATCTTACTAACGATAAAGATATATCCTTCTTCATTTAGATAAGTGTAACCCTCCCAAAAACATCAAATGCATATGGATTCATGTGACTAAAGGAAGAAAATGGTCAACGTGATGTGTGAGTCGCCACCTTGTTTAATTTATTTTAGGGTAACTAGAAAAAAACCTAAGTGACTCCATGTTTTAATTACCTAAATGCTAGATTAATTAACCAATGTTTAATAGCATGGTCTACGAACCCGAGATGGATCCCGAGACTATGTCATGCTGATGAACTAACCTATGAATGAATGTTCTATGCACGGAAGATGATGTAATTGAAAAATGTTATGTGATTTCGATCTTGCCGCTCAGGGTAAATCCCAAACGGCTACGTACTTCCGTTTGAATGAAGATCAAATCAAACGTAGGTTCGATAGCCTTCTTTGAAAGGTTTGAATGGGTATGCTTTAATGCATGAGTGTGTGTTATGCTTGTGCATTTTGTTAAGGCATTTGAGCTCAAAGATTGATTGATTTGATTTTAGGCATTTATCAAATAACGTGATTTTTAATGAACTTTTAAAGCACAAAAAGATTGATTTAGGCAATTAGTTTGGCCAAAAAATTGATGTTTGGGACTTATTATTGCCAAAAAATGTTTTGTTGGGCGATTTGTCGCCAAAAGAATTAAGGCATTTGTTGCAAAGTCGGTATTGGAAAGGCGTTTAGCCAAAAGATTTAGCAATTTTGCTTGCCCCAAAGTGATTATTCGGGCGTTTGTCGCCAAATGACTGATTTAAGGCTTCTAGCCAAAAAGAGTGATTTAGGCAATTTGATTCGCCAAATAATTATGTTGATTGGGCGATTATCGCCTAAATGTATGATTTTAAGGCTTTTAGCCAAAATAAGTTATTTATATAAAGGCATTTTGCCAAAAATTGTATTAATTTGTAGCATTTGTTAAGGTTTTAGCCACAATTATTATTAATTGGACTTAGCAGATTGGTTTGAAATAAAGGCGATACACCATAGCTATTAATTAAACTAGGTATTTTAATTTAAGCCAATATTGTCGGATTTAGGCTTTAATACCACGATTATTATAAATTATATATATTGAAATATATTTATTAGGTGATATTATAGAATTGTACATATACAATTATAATGAATTTTGGATAAATGACGATATAAATTGAATGGAAGTGTATGTGTATATACACACTGCTGTTTTATTGATTAACTGTTATATTTACATTAATCTCATATGAAATTTTATTTTAACGTTACAAAAATCTAAATACTATAATACTAAAATTATAATCACTATTTAATATTAAAAAAATAAAAATAATATAAACAACAAGTAAAAGTGAGTAATCAAATAAAACATTGAACGAGTACGAATAACAAGTATAGTCAATGTGCACCACACGTTATAAAAAGACTAAACTATATATAAAAATGGGAATAGATGGGCAACATTGTGATTGCCAAAAATGCCCCGACAAAATTTATGGATTGATAAAAATATTATTAAGACCATATTAATTTCTTATTTAAATCTAAATTCTATTGAATAAAATAAGAAACTATATTACATATTATATAAAATATGGTAATACAATTCGGTTCTATCTTTTTTATAATTAGAACTGAGGGTTTTGAAATCAAAATCATATAATCTAATATTAAATAAGGTATATAATGTATATATTAATATGGTAACAAAATATGGTAATATTATTATATAGTAATATATATGGTAATATGGTAATATATACATATTATATGGAAATATAATCTGATAATACATATTATATACAAACTATATAGTAATATATATGTTATATGGTAATATATACATATTATATGGTAATATAATCTGATAATACATATTATATACTAATTATATAGTAATATATATGTTATATGGTAATATATACATATTATATGGTAATATAATCTAATAATACATATTATATACATATTATTAGTAATATAATATAATATGGTAATATACATATTATCTTACCATATAATATAGAATATGGTATTATATACATTTGATGGTTACTAAGTAAAGTATACAATAAATATATACAACAAATATGGTAGAAATATAATACCTTTAAGGATTTTAATTTTTTGGTTGAAAATATAAGTTATTTAATTTTAATTGGTTATATTATATTATATAAGGTACACATTAACTATCGTAAGAATATAATATTTTTCATTATTATTTTAATAAATATTTAATTTGATTAGTTATAATTATTTCCTATGAGTAACTTATCTACAATAAATATAACTTATTATTATTTATTTAGAAATATATTAAAAGATTTATTATTTGATATAAAATAAAAATAAAACTCACTAGAAATATATATGATATAAAATTATTATAAAACACATTATATTAGCAAACCCTATAATACATTGAAATAATTTTTCTCTTAAAAAAAGTAACCACAAAATTAATTATATATTCATTGCCTTTAGCAAAAAGTGAAAAGAAAAAAATTAAAATTATAAATGATGTTCTAAAACAATGATTAATATATTAATTATTATAATAGCCAATACCGATTTCTCATATTTTAGTAATACTAGTTTTTATAAACGTGCATTACATGTGTATTTGTTGTATATATCCGGGATTTAATTTTTTTACGTACAATATATTGTAAAAGTATAGAAAAATTAATAAAAGAAAAGAAAATTATAAGCATAAATTCTAATAATTGACACTCTAAAAGATCGATAAAAAATAACTAAATGAATATAGTTTTAAAAAAAAATTTTAAGCACAAACAAAGATAATTAGCATAGTAAAAATTATCTTTTATTTTGTTACCTTAATTTATAATTTCACATATATAGATATGAAAAATGTAACAAAGATAATTACGCTTTGTTTGATAAAATCAAAACATATATATCAACATCATAAAATATTGTTTTATGAACACTTGGTAAGTACTCGTTGTATATATCTGTTTTTTTTTTTTTCATACAAAGTAGAATTAATCAAACGACAGAATTACATAAGCATAAAATATACACTTTTTAAATGATAAAAAAAAATAAATTTTATTAGAAAATAATTAAAAAATATATATTTTATAAGTATAAATAAAGATAATTATCACATCAAAATTATCTTTTATTTTATTAATTTATTATTTATAACGAAGATATATAAAAATTATTGTAACATATATAATTTATTTATTTAGGTGCAATAAAAATTATTTTCATAATAGTTAATGTATATAATATACCATTATCAAATATTCATCCTATATAACAAAATAATATATATAAATTCAAAAATTTTAACTAATAATGCAAAACTTAAAATCAAATAATAATCAAAACTCATAAATTCAAATCACATTGTTCAATTTATCCTCCAAAAAAAAAAAAAAAATTACATTGTTCAATTTAAGTTTCTCAAAGACATAAATTAATTTACTCAAACACACAAACTATACCAAATACATATAAAAAAAACAACATCTTTTTTAAATCAACAGTATTTTAACAAAAAAAATCTGATTTGTATAAAAAAATCAAGATTTTTCGGGTTTTATCCACGGTCCAACCCAATTTTTTTTTTTTCAAAAACCGAGCTAACTCCATCATTGAATCGGATAGCCTGCCGGTTTCCTATCTAATCGGTATGGTCTGGTTCAACAACTCAGTTAATCTCATATGATTTTTCCACCCATATCCTTATATATATATAATTTTAATATAGTTTTTTAATATTTATCTTTATTATAATAATAAGAAATTGTGAAGGATATTTTTGTCCATCCAGTTATCTTCTCAAATTTCTGACTCTATAAATTACAGATATACATTTAGAAGAAAAGCAAATAACATAATCAATATACATATATAAAAGAAAAAACCTCTAATCTCTTCTATTGTGATGAAGATGTCTATGCTCAAGTTTACTCTCGTTGCCATTTTCTTGTTGATTGCCCTTGGTTTGTCACTGTTACTATTTTGTTTTTGCTTTTATATATATTCATATGCATGTGTAGTGGCAAATTCATCCCTCTTTTGTTTTAAAAATTCTTTTATTTGCTGATAATTTAATGAATTTTTAGTTTTTATTTAGCTTTTTTGAATGAACAATGAAGAGAAATGTTAATGATTTTTTATTTTTTATTTTTTATTTGCTGGACCCAGGAAAAAATAGAAAAATCTGAATCTGCCATTGTTTATATGTTTGCTTGTTTTTATAGTATTATTATTATCACACACACACACACATATATATATATATGTATATTTATATACTTTTGACTAAATGTGAGGAAAAAAAACAAATGTTTCAGATTTGCAAGGTGGGGTAGAAGCAAGAGGGCCAATAGTTGGTTTTGGATGCAAAACAGTCCAAGACTGTGTTGCAAATAATCCACTATGTTCTGCAGAAGTTTGCAAACCACCCTACTGGTGTTTCTGTATAAATGGACAGTGTGCATGTCAACCAGATTCATTAAGTGCTACAACCCTGATTGGAAGCTAAGGAAAAGGAAGTGCAAAAACATTTGAATAAAGCAAAAATAGAGAAGTTTGAGATACCAATATCCAGCTCTCTGATAATGATACTTGTAAACCTCTAATTACAAGTTATAATAAGGATTATATGTTTGTATCCTCGTTATAAAAATCATTATAAAGAAAGAGAAATATATGCAGTTATCTTATTATTTTCCTTTAATATTTAATTTGAAACCAAGGAAGATTTTCAAATCTGTGCAAAAAATATTATTCAAACCAAGAAGAAAAATGGCTTTCTAATTTTTTTGAAACTGAAAATTGTTCAATTTTCAGGAAAGGGAAAGTTTGTTTAAACAATAAATGTTTCACCCACATTAACATGCTCTCAAAATAAAACCACTCACTTTTAATCTATATCTATACTATATATAAATATCGGAAATAGGAGGAAATATGAGATTTCCTATAATAGCCTTAGTTTAAATTGAAATTCTTAATATATTCTTTTTGTTAGCTTTTTTATGCATTCTAATTGGAGAAAATATAATTTGCCAATAGTTGGTTTTGGATGCAAAACAGTCCAAGACTGTGTTGCAAATAATCCACTATGTTCTGCAGAAGTTTGCAAACCACCCTACTGGTGTTTCTGTATAAATGGACAGTGTGCATGTCAACCAGATTCATTAAGTGCTACAACCCTGATTGGAAGCTAAGGAAAAGGAAGTGCAAAAACATTTGAATAAAGCAAAAATAGAGAAGTTTGAGATACCAATATCCAGCTCTCTGATAATGATACTTGTAAACCTCTAATTACAAGTTATAATAAGGATTATATGTTTGTATCCTCGTTATAAAAATCATTATAAAGAAAGAGAAATATATGCAGTTATCTTATTATTTTCCTTTAATATTTAATTTGAAACCAAGGAAGATTTTCAAATCTGTGCAAAAAATATTATTCAAACCAAGAAGAAAAATGGCTTTCTAATTTTTTTGAAACTGAAAATTGTTCAATTTTCAGGAAAGGGAAAGTTTGTTTAAACAATAAATGTTTCACCCACATTAACATGCTCTCAAAATAAAACCACTCACTTTTAATCTATATCTATACTATATATAAATATCGGAAATAGGAGGAAATATGAGATTTCCTATAATAGCCTTAGTTTAAATTGAAATTCTTAATATATTCTTTTTGTTAGCTTTTTTATGCATTCTAATTGGAGAAAATAGGTCCTTTTATCCTTTGAAGATCTTTTTAGTTATATTTTTTATGCCTTTTAATTTGACAAAATATATTCTATTTATCCTTTTGAATATCTTTTTAGTTAAATTTTTATGTATTTTAGCTCGAGAAAATATGTGTATTTATATTCTCTATGATCTTGCATCATTATTGTCCAATGATTTTTATAATTAAATACATTTTAACATTCTTAATTATAGGTTATTACGTGATATTTTTTCTAGGAGATAAATCGAAAATATTAATTCAAGTATTGAAAATGAAAGTTAAATTTTTTTAATTTATTATGTTCTGAATTTTTTAAAATATGGTTAAACAATTTATCATTAGCGTCTACTAGTTAAATACAATGAAATTAACAAATATATTCTTTCTTTGATATTTTGGAGAGGAAGGTGTATATTTATTTGGATTATTTTACACATTTTTTATTTTAAATTTTTTATAATTCTAGTTTAACAAAAACAATAGAAGTATGGAATTATAGTATTTGACTAATATATCAAATAAGAAAGTTTTTTCTTTTAGTCTAATGAAATGTTTTTTAAAAAATTGGCTATAGAAGTTTGAATTAATGAAAAATAGATATTTAACATATTTGCTATCATTTTTATTTTCAACTTTTCTATATTAACGATGAAATAAGGAGAAAATTCAAGAGCTCTCTTTTTATTCTATATAATATATTTTACTTCTTTTTTTGAAATTTATCGAATTTCATTAATTTTTCTATGATTTAATTAGATATATATTTTTTAAAATAATTTTTAAAATAGATATAAATATAATTAGACCTTTCAGATTTTAGTTTTTTCTAATATTTTTCAATAAATATATAAGCTTCAAATTTTTTGAATTTAATATCGTTTATATCTATCTATAAACTTGAAAAAGGATCTTCCGGTATATATGGAGTTCTTAACTTTAAGCAATTTATTTTTTGATTCTGTTTAAGGATAGGCAATTCAAAATATTATATGTTATTGACAATATTTTAGCCTAACTACATTTGGCAAAAATAATTGATGCAGAGATTAATTTTTATATCTTATATTGTAGCTATATATAGCAAGTTTTGATTTATTAGATTAATGTCATAGTATCGCCAAATTATAAAATATTTTGCAGTATGGGAAATGCAAATTTTTATTTATTTATATAATTAATTAATAAAAATTATATTTTTTTATTAAAAGAAGAAGTAAAAACATTATTTTCTTTTCAATTAGATGTTACATTATAAGACATATTAAAAACAAATTATCGTATATATAAAGTGCAATATAAGTTAATCATTGTATTTATTTTGATGTAAATAAGAATTTATACTTAATATCACATGAATAGCAAAATTAAACGAGTATAAAAACAATTTATAACAAGCAAAGTCAACGTATAATGTACGTCATAAAAGAATTAGTTTATACTAAAAATTTGGCCGTAAAGCCTTATGTGGCTTCGATTAAATTCAAACATAATTTAGCATTTTATTAAATAAATAAAAATTCCTTAATAATTTGTTATACTTACATAGCCTAAAATATCTATCTATCTATAACTATAATCTATAATCTATGATCTATATATAAAACTGAGAATGGATGGGGAATATTGGAATTGTCAGAAACGTCTCTACTAAGTTTATAAATTTATAAAAATATCACTAAAGATTTTAATTTGATTGGTAAAAAAAAAATAAGAGTAATTTAATTTTGATTTTGGTCATATTAATTTCCTATTTAAATTTAAATTCTGTTGTATAAAATAAGAAATTATATTAGATACTATCTAAGATATATATAAAACATGGCAATATTATTCAGTTCCACATTTCTTATAATTGGAACCGACTGTTTTGAAACCGAAACCATATAATCTAATATTAAATAAGGTATGTAATATAATATGGTAATAATATTATAATACTATAAAATAAATACTAAATAAGGTATACATTAAATATGGTAGAAATATACTATTTTTTAAGTATTTTGATTGGTTATATTATACTATATAAGATATATATTAAATATGGTATTTTGATGGTCTATATTATACTATATAAGATATATATATAAATATTGGTAAGAATATATTATTTTTATCAATACTATATATATATATATATATTATACTTATACTATATTATAATCCTAAAGAAAAAAAATTTTTAAAAACTACATTGCACTTTCTTGTTTTATATATATATATAATCCTAAAGAAAAAAAATTTTTAAAAAGCTAACATGACACTTTCTGTTTTTCCTTTTTTCACAAAATTTATAAAATTTTCCTTATTTTTTCTACTATTTAATTGGAGCTAAAAATATTTTTCTTCTTAATAGATAATCAGTTTAAATTTTAAAATATAATCAAACAAAAATTTGGCTTTTTGCACGATGCAATGATTTTAGAGATCAAAACTCAATAAATATCTCTACACAATGGGATTTGCAGTGAGATAAATAAATGCAGAACATATACATTTTAGTTTTCTCACAATTTTAACTCTTGATTTCATTATCGTATTTTATTATTTTATTATTGATTATAGTTTACTTCTATAAGTATTTCTCTGTTTTTTTATGGTGATCCTTTGTTTTTATGTTCTGATCTTATCCTGTAGGTGATCTTGGCAGGTTTTAAGTGATGATTAAAGGAGCAATCTATGACGAATATGGAGAAGGGTTGAAATGAAATGGTATGTGCTACCACAAGATGCTGGTGGTCGTGGAGGAGCAGCCTCTTTTCAACAGAAGATGGTTCAACAATGTGTAGGTTCAATCTAAGAAATAAAAATGACACTTTTACTGAATTTTTTTGGGTTTTCAAGCCCACTTGGAGGAATGGGAGGTGGTAGTGGCATGAGGGGTGGTTCGTTAATGGCCGTTATTGCTCAATAATGAAAGAACTGTAAGTTATTATTTTTCTATTTTATTTTATCTCTAATTTTTTATTTTAAAATGTCTTAAATCTTTTGTTTTGTAAATGGGTACTAAAAATTGCTTTTGCTCTTTGGCTAAATTCAAGTCCATATAGAGTATTGATATCAAATATTCATTATCTAAGCAGAATGGGTAAGATGATTTTTCTTTATTTACATTTCATTTGCTATTGATAAAAATTTTTTTTGTTTAAATTTTATTAACAACACTAATTAGCTTTTTTGTTGTTTTATTGATTTACTTGGCACTGCTTCAGCAAAATCCATTGCATATATCTATATAGGTATCAGTTAAACTTTCTCAAAGTAGGATAAAGTGAAGCCCATTGCATAACTTTGTTACCTTTTCTTATATATCTATATAGTTATCAGATAAGCATTTTCATAAACTTTCTCAAGGTAAGATAAAGTGAGTTGCAACATTTTTACCCTGCCTTTAATATTGGGATGCTGCTGCTTCTAAATGCTCATATATCTGTTATGTTGTCTTTTTGTGTTAAATTTTGCAGTTCGTTAAATTATAAACCATCATGTTTTGAACGTGAAAGCTATATCTGTCACAGACTCCAGAGGTTTATTATACGGGCAACCCTCTCAATCCAGTTTTTTTCATTCACAATAGGTTTCTCCATTCACAACACCAGGTTCGAACTCTAGACGTTGATTAAGGAATCCAGCACCTCATCTCACTGGACCAATTAGTAGTTGGTTATATATCTTTTTTTTAGAGAGGAATTTTGTATAATTCTTTTTTTTTTAGGATAATTTTGCATAATTTTTAATGTAAGATTGGAAAATTAATTAATCAATAATGTCCTATGATGGATGTATGTCATTGTCGAAAACTCCAATTAATTATTATCCAAAAATAAACTTCACAAAATTTCAAGGGTGCATATTCTAATTAATTCATCAAATCCAAAAAATAAAAAGTATTTTTATTCCAAAAATAATTGTTTCATATCAAATTGCTATCCACATAATTCAATAACAATATTAATTAGTATATTTATGAGGGATTTATA